AAAAATTTTTTTTTAAAAAAAAAAAAAAAAAAAAAAAAAAAAAAAAAAAAAAAAAAAAAAAAAAAAAAAAAAAAAAAAAAAAAAAAAAAAAAAAAAAAAAAAAAAAAAAAAAAAAAAAAAAAAAAAAAAAAAAAAAATTAAACTTTAGCCGATTTTCAATTTTTTTTTATGTTGACAAAACTTTTTCCTTCATTTTTTTTTCCTCTATTCGCCACTCTTCGTATATATATATATATATATATATATATAACATATGAGTAATTTTTTTTCTTTTTTCGTTTATTATTATTATCATTATTATTATTATTACTTCCCCCCCCCCCCCCCCGTTTAATGCAAAAAAAGAATTAATTAAAAAAAAGAAAAAAAAGTGAAGTTTTAGTTGAAATCGTGGAAGCAGAAATTTTATTAAAAGTGTTTACGTTTAATAATTTTTTTTTTTGTATGGTTGGTATTTTTTTTTCTTTTACCGGAAATGGTTTTATCGTAAAACGTAAGATGCTTTCGTTTTTTCCTTTTTCTTTTTTTTTTTTTTTGCTCATTTTAAAAGAGATGTGGAAATCGTGGAAATTGTAAATGAATGATTGATAATACACGTTGAATTTTTTTCTATTCGAACTTTTAACTTATCTCTATATATATGAATTTTTTTTTTTATTCAACGATTGTCTTTTGCCACGATCAATTATTTATAATGATTTTTCCAAAAAAAAAATCCTATAAAAATTAACCGGAAATTTTTTTTTTTGTGGCAAATTCGAAACAAAAAAAAAAGTAAAATTTTTACCAAAGCAATTAAAAAAAATAATAATAACAATAATTTTTTTTTATAAAATAAAAAAAAAAGTTTGCCAAAAGTTTTTAGGGGTAAAAAGTGGTTTTAAAAAAAAAAAAAATACACGCGCACTCGCACACGCAGTCACACGCACACAAAATCTCTAGCACGAAAGTTATTTAATTTTAAAATTTAAAAAAAAAATATTCTTTTTTGTTTCTAGAACATTTTTTTAAAAAAAAAAATAAAAAGTAAAATAAAAATTTTTAATTTTTGTAGACAGTAACCGGAAATACATAAATTATTCAGTTAAATTTCATTCAAATTTTTAAAAAAAAGAAGAAAAGTTAGAAAAAAAACCCGCCATTTTTCTTTTTTTTTTGTTTTATATTTAAATAATTCATGTAATTATTAAATGATTTAAAGTATAAAAAAAAAGCTGCGTCGTTTCCGGTATTTTTTGCAACATTTTTTGATTCCGGTAGTTTTTTTTTTAAATGTTTTACGTTTTGTTTGTGTTTGTTTGAGACGAAAAAAATTTTTTTTTTCTTCTGATAATAATAATAATACGCACTACTAACAATGCGAAAAAATTAAATTCTTAAAGAAAGTTTTAATGGTTTTCTTCTGAAAGAAAAATCCGGTTTCCGGTTTTAAGTTTCAAGATCATAATGTCGGTCTCTTAAACGAATTTTGGTATTTGTGGAAATAAGTGCGTTTGACCCACTCGAGATGAAATTTTAAAATAAACGCGATCAAAGGAAAGGAGATGACGTCACGTGATTACATTCCAGAAACTCCAGGAACGAACGACAAACTTTAAAAATTGTTCGTCGTGATGGAAAACATGAAAAAGAATAATAAAACAGATTCGGTACGGAAAAGAATTTTCTAGGATTGAGAAACGTACAAACGGTGAAGAAACTTTTTGGACACGGAAAAGAAAAAAAAAAATTTTTTTATTTTTTTTTCCAGAACTTTATTAATTACATTTTGGAATGGAATCATTAGCGCCGACAACGTTTTTCAATCAACTAATTCTAAAATTTTAAGTGAACAATTTGACCGAAACGGAAATATCGTGAAAATTTTAAATGAGATAAAATTTTATTTCCGGTTATTCGTTTGTTCCGATTTTTTTTAGTTCGTTCGTTTGCATGCCTAATAGTTATCCGGTAAATACTTTTTTTTTGTTTGTTTTCCGAATTAAAAACAAAACATTTACGACAAGCAAAAAAAAATATTTAAAAAAAAATAAGAAATTTAAACGTTTCGCAGTCTGTTTAAAAAATATAAACATAACGAATTTCGGTCGTGAGTTAAAAAAAAAAAAAAAAAGTATTTTTTTTTCAACTTCTTCATCCGTTCCGTTCCGTTTTTTTTTTTTGGATTTTTAAAAATTAAAAATCGTCAAAAGCATTCATAAGCTAATTTTTTTTTTTTTAATAAAAACAAACGAATATTACGTTATCTTATCGGGGAAAAGAGAGAGATAGAGATAAAAAGAACAGGGAAAGAGAAAGAGACAAAACAAGAGATAGGGAGAGATACATAGAAAATGAATGTGAAAATAAAAAAAAAAGAGAGAGAAAGAGAGATAAATAGTAAAAAAGGTAAAAAATAAGAGAGAAAGAAATAGAGAAAGAGATAAAAAGGAGAGAAACATTAAGAGAGAAAGAGAGAGAGAGAGGGAGAGAGATAAAGAACAGAGAAAAAGAAAGAGTGAAAGAAATAGGGAGAGAAATGTATAGAGTATAAAAATGAAAATAAAAAAGAAAGAGATAGTGTGAGGGAGAAGAAGGAAAGTAAGAGACACAGAGAGAGAGAGAGAGAAATAGGAAAAAACACGGAAAAAGAGAGAAAAAATAAAAGAGAAAGAGAAAAGGAAAAATGCAAAATTTTATACGAATATCAATTTATTTATTAAAAAATTTCCTCCATCCCCACTCGTCAAACTCCCCTCCTGTTTTTTTTTTAAAATTTAAAAGAAAGAGTATTGAAGATATTGCCCCCCGCTCTCCAACACCTCCCTAAAATTTATCATATAAATAATGAATAATGTATAATTTATTTTTTTATTTAAATTTTCTATTAAGTTTTTTTTTAAAAAAAAAGTTTTTCTAACCTTTATTTTTCCTTTTTCTCATTTTTCCTTTTTCTTTCCAGAATTTTCTAGAATTTTTTTTTTTTTATTATTTTTTTTCCAAAGGTTTTTCATAACCTGAAACAAATCAAAATACGAATTGATTTTTTTGTCACTTACAAAAGCCAAAAAAAAATTATTATTATTATCAATTTTTTTTGGAACGAGAATTCCAGATTTTTTTTTCTTCCATAAAACGCGCGCGTGTGTGTGCGTGCGTGCGCGCCGTCGTGCTCGCAAATTTTAAACTTTTCCGTGTGTGTGTTTCTGACGATTTCCGTTATATATTTTATTAAATAACGACCGACTACAGACATTTTTTCCTACCATTCTCGGTTTAATAATAATAATGATAATAATAATAATAATAATGATGATGATGATGATGATAATGATGATTCTAATAATAAATGCGGTTGCATTTTTCGCTCACAGGACACACCGGAAACGAATCGTTTTAATTATTCTTTCGTACTCTTTATTTATTCGGTGCGCGAAAAAAAAATTGTCTTACGTGTATTTTTTTTTTCTCACGTTTTCTGCTACGTCAAATAGACAAAAAATTTTTTTTATAAACAAAAGGTTGATTAAAACATAAAATAGAGTCGTCGTAATTATAATTAAGAGAAGAAGTTTAAACATTCATAACAATAAATTAAAACATTTAAAAAAAAAAAACAAACAAACGTGGAAATGCAATCCAAAAAAAATAACAAAAACTTTTTCAACATAATAATTATTATTATTATTTAAACATATGACTTTATTTTTTAAAAAAGTGTCTCAACGACCGAACCGGAAGAAGTAATTATTATTATTATTATTATTATTATTATTATTATTATTATTATTATTATTATTATTATTATTATTATTATTATTATTATTATTATTCCCAGATTTAACAAAAAAGAAAAAAAATCTAAGATGTTTAAAGTAATAAAATAACAAGAAATACTTTCCCTTTTTATCCTTTGAAAGGAAAATTAATTTACGCTGGAGAACAGAAAAAAAGAAAACTGGAGAGAAAACTGGAAAGCTCCGTGCCATTAAAAAATAATAATAATAATAAAAGCTCGAAGTAGAAAATAAAAAAAAAAATGCATAATGAAAAAGATTTTTTTTCCCCTTTTTTTTTTTTATTTTCTATTACTTTTTATTCTTTTTTTTTTTTTAGAATAATAATAATAATAATAAAAGATCGTTTTGTAATAAGTATTAGCAGACGACCTTTTTCTGACCTTTTTTTTATTTTATTTTATTTTTTTTAAATTGGATTTTTGTAAAAAAAAAAAATTTGTGAAAAGCGTTTACAATAAAAAAAAAGAAAAATAAAAATAAATAAATTTTTTAATTAATGTAATTTATTTTATTATTATTATCATCATCATTATTATGATTAATAATTGTTTTTTTTTTTAAACAGGTAGAAATATCAGAAATGCAATCAGAATGTCGATCGATATATTTTTAACGGCTTTTCTCGTATTGACAACGTCCGAATATAAAATGTGCGATTGTGAAAATTTGTTTACACCGGAAACACTAAGTTTAACGGTTTATTCGGGAGCGGAAGAAACGACTTTGTTTCCGGAAACAAACGTCACGGCAATGATTCAAAATTACAACGGGTCGTCGTCGTCGTTAACGGACGAAAAGAAATCTTTGTTAAATGAGAAAAAAAACGCGGGAAAAAATTCAAATAAAATGAGTTTTAAAAACGGTAGTAAAATAGTTAACAGTAGAATTTGGCCGGTTAAACATTCGGCGGAAATGAACGGAGATTTGATATTGGGAGGTCTCATGATGGTTCACGAAAGAGAAGATTCCATCACTTGTGGGCCCATAATGCCACAGGGTGGTGTTCAGGCATTGGAAACAATGTTGTACACTCTCGACATAATTAACAACATGGGTATACTACCCAACATAACGATGGGTGCTCATATACTGGACGATTGCGACAAAGATACCTACGGATTAGAAATGGCCGTGGATTTCATTAAGGGTAAGTTTTCATTCTTTTTTATTTTCTTAAATTCAAAAACGGAAATGGAATTCATTCTGACGTCACAATAATAATAAGTTTTAAAAAAAAACTATTAACCTAATTTTATTCGTTTAATTAACGATAAATAAAAAAAAATTCGATCGTTTTAACCGCGTTTTATAAAAAGAAAACCGTCATTTCCGGTTTAAAAAAAAAAAAAATTTCGTAAAACTTTTTCTTAAGAGTCGGCGGTGGTGATGACGGCGGCCATTTTCTAAAAAAAAGAAACGTTTGGAGCGGTAATTACATGTTTCAAATATAAATAAATAAATAAAAACAGTTAGAAACGTTCACACGCTGTTTAACTAACCGGAAACGTTCTTTTCCACTTTCGTTAATCCCACGTCGAAAACATTAATTAATTATTATTATTTTTACGTATTTATTTTCTTTTCTTTTTGTTTAAAAAAAAAATAAGCAAACCTTTTTCCGCCTTTTTATTATTTTTTTATTTTAGAAAATTTTTTTTTTTTTTTTTACAATAAAATTTTTGTTAACGTAAAGTCGTGGCAGAACGATGTGGTAACACGACCATAAGATTTTAATAATCTTTAATTTATTATTATTATTATCGTTATCGTGAAACATTAAGAGATTTAAATTATTATTATTATTATTTCGAAGGGGAGAGACGGACGAAAAAAAAATTTTTTTTTTTTGAACATTAGAAATCTTTCATGAATTTTGTTTAAAAAAAAAAAAAAAAGGGTTTAAATTTTTGCCAAAGTATGTATTTAATATTAATAATAATAATAATAATAATAATAATAATAATAATAATAATAATAGCAACAGGTGTTAAAGTTAAAGAAAAACCGTATATATACCGCTCGATCATGATATTGTTTTTCTTTTATTTTCTTTTCTTTTCTCCTCATGATGGCGAAGACGGTGTATAAAACATTTTATACGTTTTTCTTTCTTTCTTTCTTTCTTTGTATCCTAAAGCATTTTTCTTTTTTTCTTTTTTTCTTTCTTTCTTTATTTTTTACTACATTTTTTACATAAATTTATCTATCGGTTTTCAATTTTTCTTTTTTACTTTTTCTTTCCGTTTTAACGTTATGGAAAAAACTAAGATTTTTTTTTTTTAAATATTTTATCACGTATTTGGGTATCGGATTTACACGAGTGTGTTTAAAACATGTAATTTTATTTAGGATTTTTCCAGATTGCAGATGATTCTTATTTGATTTTCTTTTTTTTTCACGTCATAGGAATTTAAAAAAAAAAAAAAATTCATTTACACGTTTTTTGTTTTCCAAATATATATTGTTATTATCCTATATTTAATGTTTATATTTTTTTTGTTTGTAAACAAATATGTTACGATGAAGACATTAACACAAAGTTTGTATTCTCTAGAAGAAAAGCTTTAGAAAAACTCTTTCTTTTGTTTTTTTTTTTTTTATCTACTAGGAGCGTTAGTCTTTTTAATTTAGTTTGTTGTTCGTTTTAAACTAAACAGTAACGGAAAATTGAATTTATAAAAGGTGGCTTGACATCTCAGAAGAAAGAGTTCTTGATGTTCTGATATCTTTATATTCAATTATAACATCTTTTGTTTTGTGTCTAAATCTAAGTTTGTGATTGTGTTTACATCTGATATTGTTCACGAAATTTAGTAATTAACCCGTTCAGTTTATGTAGTATAACGTAAACGTTTTTTTTCTTTTGCTTATTCTCAATGTAATTCTTCTTTCGCTGAAAATGTATTCGAATTGTTATTAATAGTATCACGAAAGCGGAGGAAAATTAACGTTATAAACCTATAATCGAATCGAACCATGACAGTAATATATAATAATAGTCATAAACAAATCGTTTTAAATATTTATTTAACTTAAAATAATTTAACTAATTCAAAATTTATTATTTTACTAAATTAATTTATTTATTAACGGATTTTTATCGTTAAAAAAAAGTGGAAACAGAATCGTGGAATTAGTTTTTTATACGAAAATAATAACGACCTCTATTGTGAAAAGTTTAAATTAAAACATCACGTGAAAGTAAATTATTAAATGAATTAAATGTACTCTGGCGGTGAAAATGTGAAACATTTTAAAATAATTTTTCTCTTCGGAAAATTAAAGATGGCGAGACGACGCGAAATGACGTCGGAAAAGAAAAGTTTTTTTTTTTTCTTTTACCAAATAAATTAATTTTATTTTATTAACGTTTTGACGTGGTGTTAGACTCTTGTAAAATTTTCATTTAAAAATTTTTTTTTTTTTGTTTTTTATTCGATCCTTTTAAAATTTATTTTTTTCGTTTCCCCTTCTTCCCCCCTCTCTCTCTCTCTCCTTTTTTAATGGCATTTTACCGAGAAAATTATAATCCTATTTTTGAGTTTGATCCAGCTTACGCGAAAACCCGCCGCGCTTTTCCAAAAAAAAAAAAAATGCGAAAGGAAAATTTTTGTGTGACGTTTTTCCTTGGTAAAAACAGTGAGAGAGAGAGAGAGAGAGAGAGAGAGAGCG